TTCTGTAGGATCAGGCGATGCTCACCAAATGACAAGTTTGCATTGTGTTTTTGAAATTTAATTTCTGTGCCGGTTATTGAATTCATCTAGCAAATGTTTTCTGTCCAGGTACGGGTAAATAGTCCAAAACTGGTTTCATACGTACATGGAGAGCTGGACTCATTCATCCGAGACATCCGGCTTTCCATTGAAGGTGTTGCTATACCGCAATTCTATTCTCCGCCGCCCGTGACTCTGCTCAGTTATTGTGGTGCTCCACTGTTGCGTGCAAAGTAAGTCCTTTGTATTTGCGTTTCAGACCTCGAAATTGAAAAAGCCAAGTTCATGTTTTATTCTGTTTAATAAGAGTTGTTGCGTCGTCAGAAAAGTCGACAAGTAATGACATTTTGAAATGCAATTTGTGTTTGGGAAATAAACTCAGTGTGCTCTTTTAGATGGGAGTTGGCTTTTTAAATAAGGATTATAAAATGCCTATTGGAAGGGAAGCTTCATTTTTGTGTGCAGAAAGCTTCTTTTATTGGCTTGCTAAATCTGCTTGAACTAAATATGAAACAACTTCCGGCGATTCAAGCAGCTTTTGTGACACCTTAAAACGCTCACTTAGCTTGTCATCAAAATTTTCATGGCCAGCTCTCATCGCATCTCTATACTCCTTTAATGAGCTTGGCAAGTGCTAATAATTGAGCTACCCTGCGAATAGCTCAGCCTGCTGGAGAATAAGAATATGCAGGGTTGACTGATTTTTTGCCAGGATGTGGTTTATGCTGTCAGAATTTGACAGTTGGAATAGTGCCAAAACGACGCAGTAGTAGTCAGGATCTGCAGATTGTAGGTTGAGCGGAGGCTGAAAGGAAGGGGCAAGTCGGAATGCTTGCGGTCACTAGAAAAAGAATATCTGAACGGAAAATTTTTTTACGGATGCTTCGTTGCGGCTCCTTATGGCATAAAACGAAGGCCGGCCGTAGTTCTAATAATTTTTCGGTTGATTTGGCAGCTCAGATTTTTGTGCATCGTAACATTCAAAGAGACGCATAATGCATGCAGTCCTCCTGATTTGCCTCACTACGATTTGTTCGTCTTGTTGTGCCAATTACTGGAAAATTTGCAGAATTGATCTGGAATTCTATCAAAAGAAGAAAAGATCATGGCCTTTGCCGGATTATCAAATTCCGTGGGAAATTTGGCAGTTGCAGCTTGCTATTGTGCGAATTAAGGAAAGAGGTATCGCGGATGTAACCCCAAAAGCGCTTCCCTGTTTTTTTTGGCGTTTTCTTTATTCTTCATGCCGGATTATTTGTATTTTGATAGCATTTATTTGCAAAATACAGAATCCCGGAAAATACATAGAAAGGATTGGTAATATTGGAATTTTTAGAGTACTGGGAGCGAATGCGCGAAGAGCTGGCGGACTCAGTGTCTGAAGTTGTGCTGAAAACATGCTCGCTGATCAATCGACCACAGTTCGTACCACAAATGCCGACACGCTCAGATGTTGCAAACGTTTTCGATACGACGTATCCTGAATGCCAGCCGTATCTTATGCGAATCGTCAGGCATCCACATGACACGAGTATTTCTTACTCTTCATTCTTTATAAACTTTTTGAGGCGCAAAAAAGGACAAGGCGAGCCGTGATTTAGGGATTCGGTCATTCTGCCTAATAGCAAAAGTATCGTCACGGAAGAAAAGGGCTCCTCATTCATCGCATTTTCTTTCCTCCACTGGTCAGCAGTGTAGGGCATTTGGTTCTGCAGTTGAGGAGTGGAGTGCTTCTTACAATTCTTTTAACATTAGGCTTTTAGAGGCGAATATCTCGAACTGCGAGGAGTTCCCCTGTCGACTTTATTTGTCATCTCCTCTCTATCGTCTTTAAAAAGGGCCAAGAATCGTTTTGCTGTTCTTAAAACACAGTGGGGAATATTTGCTAAATTGTTACCTGATCTGATTTTCCTCATTCACAAGGAATGAGGTCTTAAACTCTGAATTTGGGATGAGTAGTATGTAAAAACTGCTATTTGCTTCATGTTCAGTTTTCTTTTTGGTGTTTTTATGCAGCATTTTGCAACCGATCACATGTCCAGTTTTTCAGGTAAAAACTCGGAGAATACTCTAATGACAGTTGGCGCATCAGCGGTCAAAAAAATGCTGAGAGATACATTCTTATCGTAAAACTTGTCAGTCTAATGTCACTTTCAGACAGCATCGACACGTGTGTGAAATCTGGCAACGTCATCTCGTTCTTCACCTTCTTTTTCACGATAGAGATTTCAGCCCGCAAAAATAATTGATCTGTGATGTGTCATGTTTTGTATTGAAAGCTAACTTTGTCACTCACTCTCTCTCTCTGCCATGTGCGGGTTGCTTTTCGTAAATTGATGACCTAAGAAAAATGCTTGTGTAAAGAGCTCCACTTTCGCCCCTCTAAAAAGAGGTTAAAGAGAAACAAAGAAGTTTTGGAACAACAATATTTTCTTTTTCAGTTTTTCCGTGCGTGAGATACCGCAACTAATCTTTTGCTTTTGGGCTCATGTCTTTATTGTGTACGCACTTGCAATGCATGCCGCCTTCCTTAAATGCAAATCTCGGAGCATATGGCATGTCGTTCCCATTAGAAATGTTCGATTTATGAGCTATCTGCACTTTTTTCTTTTGTGTTTTTGAAGTATATAAGATGTACGAGTTTGGATGGGTTTATCCACCCTTGCAAGTGCTCTATCGGCATGGTTTTTTTTTCATTTATTGTATCTGCTTCACCAGTTCTGATGTAGTGCTATGGTAGAATAACCTTTT